TCTCCCCTCTCCCCTCTCCCACCACTCTCCTCTCCCCTCTCCCGCCTCTCTCCCCTCTCCCCTCTCCCCTCTCCCCTGACTCTCCTCTCTCTCCCCTCTCTCTCCTCTCCCCTCTCCTCTCTCCTGATGCTCCTGTCACTGGATGCCAGTCTCCCTCCTTCCTTTTCCCCTTTTTTAATGATCCTTTCCCCCTAATTAAAAGAAAAGAAAAAAACTCTGCTTGAATTCTGTTGCATGGTGTCTTTCTCTCTCAAACTCTTTTCTTAAATTACAACAAAGAGATACAAATGAGAGTATATTGTGCCTGAAAAGAAGGAGCAGAAACACCGGGAAGTGGTAGTGCACACCTTTAATCCCAACACTTAGGAGGCAGAGGCAGGCAGATCTCAATGACTTTGAGGCCAGTTTGGTTTACAAAAGTGAGTTCCAGAGCAGGCAAGACTATTACACAGAGAAACCTTGTCTCAAAAAAAAAGGGGGGGGTGGAACAGAAGCTGACTTACACTCTTTAGAAATGATGCTATAAGAGGAGGAAGAGACAGAAAAATGAAGAAGTAAAGTAAAAGCAAGATAGGACCAAGTCAATGCCTTAAGTTAAAGAGACAGTAAATGCAACTCGAGCCCCTCAGGAAGGTCTGGAGAAGAGCTCAGTGTAGAGTGTTTGCCCAGCATGCACCAGGCCCTGCATGCCATTCTACACACACACTTGAGTGTTAGTGCACACACACCATGCACACACGAACACACACCTTCAAATATACATACTCCTTCACAGCCATTTGACAGTTGCAGTTCTAGATAGTTCTAGATTAGAAAAACAACTAACACTGCAGTCTAGAGAGTTGTGTGAAGACTAATCTTACAAGTGTGTTTCTCTGGATAAGGTGACATGGGTTACATTTTAATCCAAGCACAACATGCTTTCTTGGTTACAAATGCACTGTAAGGCTGGTGCCAGTGGGACACTGACCTGAACATGTGATAAAGAGACTGCTGGGGATGTGAAGATTACAAGCATGGACATATGGCCAAGAGCCTGTGCTCATTAGAGCAAGGCACGTGGCTGTAGTTTCCATCTGTCTGCTAGTCCAGTAAGTGTGACACTGTCGTCATTTGTCTTTCTTTTCCATTTAGTCTTTTACACATAGACCTGTGGCTCAAACATGAAAATGTACCCAAGTGTGAAGTAAGAAGGGTCTCCCTTCTCTGCCTCTGTAAGCAGTGCCATGGGTTTCTAGTGTGCCTACTCTGCACATCTCTTAGACATGGTCCAGTTCATGATAGAACCACCCAGCCTGCCCTTGACTGTTGCAGTAGGCCCCTCACCCTGGACTATAGTGAGCATCAGTGACTCCTACTTGCAGTCATTGCTCTATTTCCTAAATCATGCCGCCTTCAGCTTTTTCTATAAGTTTTTGGAGGTTGTCTGCTTATCCATGGGCACTCTGTCCTTGCTTCTGAATTCTTCCATGATTCTCTATGATGTTTCCAGCTGCCCTATCAAGATCACTACATGCCCATTTGAATTGCCCTGTTGTGATGGCTGAATTCCAGAGATTTTAACTGGCCTTTAAGGGAAAAATGGAGAAACACAAAACATCCCATAGAGCTGGAAAGGCAGATCACATTGGAAGAGATGCTCTGGCCACCACCTCTTGCAGTCACTGTTGGTTCTCCAGGAAGCTCTTTGATTGATGATACAGACTTAACACTCGCAGGAGCAGCTTCATGGCCTGCAGCCCAGGCTTCTTCCAAGCCAACACCTGACTTGCAGAGCCCTTCCTCGGAAACCCAAAGCAGATCCATAGCTATGATTCTGATCTCGGTGTCCTCTGACACAACCTGATCAGGCACCCTTGCCTTGGCCTAGCCCCAGACCTTTCTCTGGAGGTGGTACCAGCTCTGGATTAGCTTGGTCAGTCCTCTTGACCATCTCAGGGAGTGTGAATTCCTAAGGGATTTCTGGACCTTCTCCCACAGCCAGATTTTGCTCTAGATGGAGAAAGCCTAACACCTAGATTCTTGTTTCTGTTGGTTGTTTCATCTCACTAAATCCTTACAATAATCCTATGAGCTGACAATATTATCCCTTTCTAGACAATAAGAAAATTAAGGCAGTGATGTCCACAAGCCCAAAAAATAGTGCACCTGGGAGTCACAGTCCCCATGATTCCAGATATAACTCTACAAAAAGAAAGAGAGCACTATTTTCCATGTTGCACTTATTCTTTAGGAGATTCAAAATAATCATCAAGCTGGAGAGATGGCTCAGTGGGTAAAGACACATGCCACTAAGTCTGATGACCTGAGTTTGAGCCCCAAGACCAAGATGATGGAGGGAGAGAACTTATGATTTATTAAAGCTGGCTGAGGATCCAGAGAGCAAAGTCACCACAAGCCATAGAAGTCAGGCACACACCTTGAATCCCAGCACTAGAGGGGTATAAATGATAGAGTCAAGGACTTCAGTAGTCAGTATGAGGCATTCATTCTCCAGCCATGCAGAGGAGAGGTTACAGTCTGAGGCTTGGTGAGAGCTTGTGGAGACAGGATCAGCCCACTCAGCTTGAGGTAGAGGTAAGAAGCAAGTGGCCAGCTGCTTTGCTTCCCTGATCATCAGCTTGAACCCCAATATCAGTCTCTGGGTCTTATTTATTCATGTTATACCTACAAGTTGTCCTCTGACCCCCACAGACCAATCACATATGCACACCCACTCACTATTTCTTTTGGTTTTTCGAGACAGAGTTTCTCTGTAGCTTTGAAGCCTGTCCTGAACTTGTTCTGTATCCCAGGCTGGCCTCAAACTCAGAGAGATCTGCCATGTCTACCTCCCGAGTGCTGCTATTAAAGGTGTGGACCACCACCACCCAGCCAATAAACAAATTTTAAAAAAATAATATCACTAGGAAGGAGCCTATCTGTGTGGTACATCTTTGAGGAGACCCTGGTAAGGGTCTCTACTTCCTCTACAAAACCTGCTGTCCATCACCCAGGACACAGCTAGTCTGCAGCTAGTAGCTCTTCTCCACAGGTGTACTTCTGTTCCCAAACAGCTAGGTGCTAGCATGATCCAGAGTCAGCCAGGTTCATAACTCTAAGTCATTTGATTAAATACCAAGCAACAGATAAGACTTGGGATGAAAAAGAATTGTTTCCTATGAAATCTAAACTAAATGCTTTAGAAAGATTCAATCCCATGAGATGCTAAAACAACTTATTGTTTCTAAGTATGACCAGGCAAGACAACTGTAAAGACAGGACATCAGGTGCCAGTCTCAGAGGGTTTGGCACAGAGATTAAACTACACTTGTGTCCTCACTCTTCAGAAACCCAAACAAGAATTTGTGGGCCATGTGTTTCAAATGACACCCACTTTCTATCCAAGGGTCTACTTTTAAAAGTGGACAGAGACCCTATTTAGCATTTAAAGATTTGGGGAAGAGTGGACATTTATATATAAGTCAAAACTAAAATGTTAGGTTTGTCTGAGTTACTAACTTTGGGATCAAAGGATCAAATTCTGTCCTCAGAGGATTCAGGGTGAGGTGAGAATTTTGAAATTAAATGAAAGAAAGAGACTGCCTTTCCCTGCTGAGAGTCACCTGCTGGCACAATTAATTTCTTCTTTCTGAACTTGACCTAGAAGGTTGACATTTCCTTTTAAAGAGAATCCCAGTGAGAGGGAGGTAGCATTTTGTTCATCTATCATTCTCCATCCAAAATAAACTGCTCAGTACAGAGCGCTCAGCTTACACAATGGGAAAGAAAAGGCACATTTTGATTCTGTTCTCCCACTGCAGTGGTTTCTCAATAGCTAATTTACAGCGTTAATCAAAGAACGATGAGATCATTCCTGCCAGTGAGGAGCTCAGAACATAGATCACAGTAGGCCTCATGTCATAGTTGGCAGTCCTGCCAAAATCTCTGGGATCTACAGCTTTATTATGTTAAGGCTTGCACTTGAAACTGGAGCTATGAAGAATTAATGGACAAAAGAGATTCAATTTAGTAATAAATGCCTCACAAAGATGAAGGGCCCACCACCTTCCCACAGATGCAGCCGGCATATTAACATTTAAACCTTAATACCATAGTCTATGCAAAAAAAATATTGTGATCATATTAAATCATAATTATCAAAACTTACTGGAAGCCCCTTCTTTTTATGGCCTGTTGAAGACTAAACTGTGTTCAACTTGTTGACCTACTGTAACAATAAAATAAGAAGGAAGATGCCAAGACACTCAAGCTAGCAATTATTTTTACTGTTAATACACAATCCAGAACAGCATCTGGAAAGTTCACTAAAGGCAATTACTTTCAGTGGGGGAAGAAATAATTGGACTTGTTTCTTCCAGTCTTGTTAGCTTGGAGCAGCACCATGGTTTCAATGGGATAACCCAGTGCACATTGTGTAAATACTCAGCAACCCTGTCTTATCCATGACCCCCTCACACAGCTAGCATGCTGACATAATAAACACTAAGTCCCCTGACACTGGGAATTCTCAGTCTGTCTGAGAACAAGAGTGATAGGAAAGGGTCCTTGAGCTCTGTGGTGGTTCTAA